GGGGGGGGGGGAAAAGCCCCACCCAGAGAGTGAAGTGGGGTCTGGATTCCCCTTCAGGTTCCGGCCCTTCGTGCCCCACATCCCCTTCGACTTTTATGTGGTGAGTAATTCCCGGCCCGAGGGATCCAGGGGGGGTTTCTGGGAATTTCCAAGGGGGTTTTCCAGCTTGAACGACTCGCCCCATCCCTGTTTTTGGGGGTTTGGCTTCTTGGGGTGCAGCTGAAGTGAGAGAATCCCCTAAAAATGTTGGTTAAAAAAAAAAAAACCCAAATGGAGAATTTGGTTCCTGTTTTGGGACGGGATAACGGGAGGGAATTGAGGGATAACCCCACAAATCCTTCCAGGATCGTTTTTATTCAGATTATACCAGAACAACCCCTGGATTGAGGTTTGTCCCCCCCCTTCTCCAGCCTGTCCCAATACCTGTCACCTCCTCTGGGTCCCACGGCAACTCCTGCTTCCCACCTTTTCCCAGGAAGAAATCCTTCCCCTCATTCCGCAGGGATGTGATCCCAAGGCCTGGTGGCTGCAGATTTAATGGGTTAATTTATTAAATCAATTAACAGAGTTCATAAAAACCCTCTGGAGCTGCAGGGGTGGGAGCTCCTGGACACTCCAGAATCTCCAGTGGGATCGTTTAAACAGGGAATTGTGCTGGGAATTAAGATCCCGATGGGAATTCCGTCCCTTTCCAGTGTGAGATGGCTTTTCCTCGTGTCAAACCTGCAGCTGATGAGACGGCCTTCAGCGAGGCCCTGCTCAAGAGGAACCAGGACCTGGCTCCCACTGCTGCAGAGCAGGTGCCCAAAATTCCCTCAGATCCTTGGGATGGGCGTGGGAGAAGCCAAAGTCCTTCAGGGTCTCACAGGAGCACCCCAAAAAACAAATTAATTATCAGGAATGAGCACCCAGAAGGAGCTCCTTGGGTGATTTTGTGCTCTGCAAGTGGGATTGCTGGGAGGTTTCCCTGGATAATCCCTCCACGCTCCTTCCCAGGCTTCCATCCTGTCCCTGGTGACCAAGATCAACAACGTCATCGACAACTTAATCGTGGCACCCGGGACCTTCGAGGTGGTGAGTCCCAAAAAACTGGGAAAGGAGATCCCTGGGGAGAGGATGGACTGGTGGGATTGGGAAAGGAGCTCCAGGGGGAGAGGATGGATTGGTGGGATTGGGAAAGGAGCTCCTGGTGGGATTGGGAAAGGAGCTCCTTGGGGAGATGATGGACTGGTGGGATTGGGAAAGGAGCTCCAGGGGGAGAGGATGGATTGGTGGGATTGGGAAAGGAGCTCCAGGGGGAAAAGATGGATTGGTGGGATTGGGAAAGGAGCTCCATTGAGAGAGGATGGACTGGTGGGATTGGGAAAGGAGCTCCCTGGGATGATGGTGGGTGGTCCTGGCCCGAGGTGGGGGTGTTAAGGATCAACACCACCCCCAAAACGCTGCCCTGGGTGTTGAATTCCCGGGATTTGGGCTCGTCCTTTCCCCCCCCCAGCAAATCGAGGAGGTTCGCCAGGTGGGCTCCTACAAGAAGGGCACGATGACCACGGGGCACAACGTGGCCGACCTGGTGGTGATCCTGAAGATCCTGCCCACCCGTGAGTGCCTCGTGGGTGGGATCAGCGGGATCAGCTGGGATGGTGGGGGGGGGTGATCCCAGCTCTCTTCCAACCCCTTTTCCTTCTCCTTTTCCGCAGTGGAAGCCGTGGCAGCCCTGGGGAACAAGGTGGTGGAGAGCCTGAGGGCGCAGGACCCCAGCGAAGGTGGGACCTGTGGAGTGACTTCCCGCCTTCCCCGGGGGAGTTTTCCAGCCCCTCCACTCGGAATTCCC